TGTACAGCTAGCCTTAATCAACACAATACATCTCTACCGTTATCCAAACACTTAAACATTATCCATCCCTACTGTCTTAAGATAATATTCAAAGGCTTTGCTATTAAAAGATGTCAATTTATGCAACATAAAAAAAGGGAGAAATCTTTTTAACAAACTACCCTTTTGCTTGACAGTCCAAGAGATAAAAGTACTGCAAACCCAACAATTACAACAATCCCAATTGCCAATTAATTGTTGGGTTTGCAGTACTTTTTTCTCAGTCCAATCCAACCTAACACCTCCTCTTGACAGAGGTTCACCAATTCATCATATTATAGTCTAACTTATTTCAAGCATTTCATCAACACATGTAAAACTTAATCTAAAACTCAAGCTAAATCCCAACAACAACAACAACAACAACCAAAAAAAAAAAAAAAAGACACAAAATCATGACCAAAGACTCAAAATAATGCAAAGGACAATAAATCGTAATATAAGACTTAAAACAACACAAAATCATACAAATAGACTAAAAATTTAGGAAAAAAAACAAATCGTAATATAAAACCCTAAAACATATTAAGTAATTCAAAAAACCCCCAAATCGTAATATATGAACCCTAAATCGTAGAAAGTACTTCAAAAAAACAAAATCATAATAGAAAAAAAACACTAAATAAAAAAGAATTAAGCTCAAAAAATCAAACAAAAACAAAAACAACAAATCAAAAATAATAAATTGAACAAAAAAAACAAAAAATTTCAAATCGAACAAAGCAGATCGCAAATGGATAAAAAAATTCACAAAATCGCAAAAAGTATAACAAATCAAAAATATTACCTCTTTAGATTCGATAGATAACATAAAATCGAAGAAAGTTGATGAAAAAATTGAATAACTTGAGGAAATCAATTTGCAAAATCGAAAAAACAATGAGCGAATTCGAAGGAATAAAATCGCAGCAGAGAGAATTCAAGAGAAGAGAGAGAAAGCATAAAGAAGAGAGAGAAAGTGAAAAAACGCAGGAGATAGTCATTCAAAATATCAAATTTACTAATTTTCCATTAATGAAGCAGGTGGACTCTCGGCAGTTAGGTTAAGCGTGATCAACGGTCCTGATGAGTTCCTAATTCCTATTATTCACCTTGGTTCTCACATGATCTCAATCACACACACACACACACATATATATATATATATATATATATATATATATATATATATATATATATATATTTGAAGGACAATATACTCGTCAATACACATATTTAACTATCAATATCTTTAATGATGTTTTAGTATAAAAATACAAGTATGTAAAGAAAAATTATAAGTATGAAAGATCTAACTTGCTTTATATTTCAAGAGCTTATTTATGTTTTCATCATAAAAGCTTCTTTAGTGGCTTTTTTCCCCATATGATTATGATAATTATCATCTTATAGTAGTATAATATTGCTATCATTACTTGTATTTATTTATCAGCTTATGATTTGATGTGGTTTCTCACCTATTACAAATATTTTTTCATTAATGGTTACATTTTTTTTATGATACATGTGGTTGTATAATCAAGGTTTGGATTGTATTCATATGTTTAAACAATAATGAATTTAATTTATAATCTTTATATGTAATATTAAAGGTATATATTAACCTGAAAATACATGAGACATATGAAAATGTATCAATTATGGATACTTTATCATATTATAACAAGTAAAAATTTAATCTAAAAATTTAATATAGATAGTAATGCAATTAGTTCATGTTATATACATATATAAAACATTAAATTATATGTCTATTTAACTAAATTTTTCATAAATCAATCAATAACTATAAACTAAAAGACACCAGCAATATAATGACACGTGTCATTTTATGGTGTGCCCCTTAGTTTGTTTTTTTTTTTTTTTTTTAAAAAAAATCTATTTAGGAAACTAAATTATAACATAGTTATACATAAATAAAAGATTTGATGTATCCTTGACAACTATATAAACTTAAAACTAAAAAAAAAAAATTCAAACTGCAACATAATTTTTGCCAAACATAGTGTAAGGTACTTCAATAATAACATATATTTTTTTTGAATATTTTTATAAAATAATAGAGTATATTAGAAGCTCCAAGAAAGTAATTAGAATATTAATTACTTAAAACATAAGATTTGATATATCCTTTCACAAAAAATATTAACAACTACGGAGTATAAATTTAAGAAAAAAAATCGAATTCTTAACATGTGACATGCTGATGAGTGTAATGTACTACGTTTATTTCAACTCCAATTTAATTTCTAAAAAAAAATTAAAATAGAAATCTATTTACGGGTTAAATACATAGCGAGCACATAGTTTTAAGAAATTCATTTGGTTAATAAGTAGAAAAAAATAGCAATTTTTTGGTGAAATATACAAAAATATATAGATATTGTCAAATGTGTATATTAAAATACCTATTTAATAAATTTATGTTTTTTTTTTTAAATTAAAGGTAGTTTTAATTTAAGAATAATTATTTAATATTACCGTGCATGGGACGGGACCTAACCTAGTTATGTACTATGTTTATTACAACAAGATTATATATATACATATTTTTTAATTTTTTTTTAAAATTATGTAATAGAAGCTACAAGGTTAAACAATGAAATACGAATATCAAATCAACAAATTATACTTTTGTTAATTTCCTTGATTAATTTATAATTAGAATTTCAAACAATTAATACTTTATTATTAACTATGAATACCTTCAATAATACTGACCAAGAACGACACGATTATTCTTAGTGCGATTTTTTCTTGTCATTTTTGTTATTCATTATCAACGTTCAATTGATATGAATATATCATACGAAAGTCAAAAAAATTAATATAGTGTTAACTGTCAATAATAATAGTTATTGAAAATTACCGTGCGTGGCATGAGACCTAACCTAGTATTTCATAATAGATTCACAAGAAAATTTAATCGCTAATATGAATTTAACAATATACTCCCTTTGTTTTTATATTGTCTTGTATAAATGGAATCTATGGAGTAATATTTTAAAGATAATTATATATTTCAAAATATAGTCAGGTGACATCTTTTGATTAGACTTATCTTGCTTTTTAGAATAAAATATCTATTAATGCTTGGATACGTAATAAAAGATATGGTTATTACAATCACATTGAAAATTGTGTTTGATTGTAAATGAGACAACATATGGGAAACAGAAGGAGTATATTCAATAAAGTTATTGTTTGAGTATTTTAAGTTTTTTTTTAAAAAAAATGTTGTTTTTGTCATGTTGGATATTTTCTATTATTCGCACACATTAATTTGATCTGTTTGTTATTTATATGTTAAAAAAATCATAGTCATGTCAATTTTGTTAACTTCATCTCAATGCGTAGTTTCAAAATGTTAGTGTTTCGTGATATGAAAATAAAGTTATTGGTGACAGGCGAGTGTGAAACATCTAATATTCCGATTAAAAGATGGCAGGGGAGTATAAAACTTTCAAAAAGTCTAATAAAAAAAAAACTAACAAAACTTGTACAAGACTGACTTCTAAGTTATTTTACTACCTAATATCTATCATAATACAAACATATTTAGTTACCCCGCAATACTTATTCCTCCACTTTGTTTTACTTGCAACACTAAGAATTTAATTTGACATTATACATGTTCTCTTATGACGTCATATCGTGCTTTATATGGAAAGAAAAAAAAAATATAGTTATGTGGGATGTTAGATTCGCCTAGAAAAAAAATATAGTTGAAATTTTGAATTTTGGAGAGTGGTTGGATATAGGCAATGGAAATCAACTTAATTTATGTAACAAAGAGTCGAAGAGATTAAAAACAAAAAGGAAGGACGCGGAAGTTATTATACCATTTAATTCCAAACCATTGATTTTCTTTGTTATTATAGTATATGAATAAAGATGAATTAACAACGCCCCTAATGAGTATGTTTTTTCGTAACGTATAAAACGCATAATGCAGTTAATTAAAGCAATGCGTATAAACATTATAAAATCCAAAAAGTTTTTTTTTTTTAAAAAAAACATTCTCAAATATTATATTTATAAAAGAACAGAGGATATAATATATATATCATGAATCCGACACGACACGAGCACAAAATTATTGAGAGAAAACACAAAGTCGACACGATACGAAATCAACAAAAGCACAAATCATTTAGATAAAGTGGTTAAATTTTGGAGCTATCTTACATTGTATGTAGTTTTTAATAGATTTAATGAGCAACTAACATAAAATTGACACGAGACAAAACACGAACACGACATAAATTTTGTCAACCCTACTCAAACGCAAAAGGTTTAATTTAAAAAAGAATTACATAGGTTTTGTTAGATTTAGTAAACAACACGAAATGAACACAAAACCAAACATGAACACAACACCAAACATGAACACAACACAAATGTTTGCTTGCCTTAATCAGACTCATGACCAAAGAAAAAAAAAAAACCGTTGCAGTTAAAATGTTTTTGAAAAAAACACAAAAAAAATCATAAAAACTACAGGTTAATGCTACAACTTGCAAGTCATCAATTGAGACTTGAATGGAATTTCACCAAAACTACCTTTTCCACCAAATCTATTATTCTCTTTTTAAAATGTTATATAGATGTACATGTAATAAAATTTTTTTAGAAATTACGTATATAAATAATATAAAAGTCAAATTTGAAAATTTATTATTTTGAAAGAATTGAAGTATCTCACTAATTTTCTTTGTTATCAATTTCATCCAATTAAAATTTAATGCGATAAAATATGACCTCGGACCGAACTTTTGAGGACGGGATTGATGCAAGTCCGTATTCCATTTTTTGAAAGTCCCAAAAACTGTTCACTAAATCCTCACCGTCCTGCCGTTTTCTTTCCTAGGACCCTACACACCCAACTATAATTTCTACTTTACTCAAGAGTACTCGTACTATTTTTTTTTCCCTCCATTTAACACGAGTGATAATTATATTTCCCACTTTTTTATACGACCACCTTTTAGAGTTTTTATATATATATATATAGTGCTCTGCATCAGCAACACAAGATAGCATAACACCCATTACAAAAAATAAACCCACTACCAACTTTAACTCTCTTACCACCATTCCTTTTATTTTATTTTTCCCTCTCCCATCAAGTTTCTAAATCTTGTGTCTTCCACAATAATGGCACTATCTTCATCACTACTACCCCCACTTAGTAACAACTGTGCTACATCTCCTGCTAATCGCAAATTGTTCCGTGCCCGTGCTCAAGGCCGGATCTATGCTACCCTAACCGTTCAGCCACCCACGGAACCCTCAAAGGCAAGTAGCCTACCGATCAAGAAGATCCCCGGCGATTACGGTCTTCCAATCGTCGGTCCAATCAACGATCGCCATGATTACTTTTACAATCAAGGAAGGGAGGAGTTTTTCAAATCTAGAGTCCAAAAATACAAGTCAACTGTTTTTAGAGTCAACATGCCACCTGGCCCTTTGATCTCCTCTGACCCTAACGTCGTCGTTTTGCTCGATGGTAAGAGTTTTCTGACACTCTTCGACACTTCCAAAGTCGAAAAGAAAGACGTCTTCACCGGAACCTACGCTCCCTCCCTCGAGCTCACCGGTGGATACCGTGTCCTCTCGTACCTCGACCCATCCGAGCCGAGTCACGAGAAATTGAAACAACTAATGATCAAGCTAGTGAGCACCACCCGCCACCGAGTTCTCCCTGAGTTCGAAACATCTTACTCCAACTTATTCGATGAGCTAGAGAACGAGCTAGCCACACATGGAAAGGCCAAGTTCAACGAGGCCAACGATCGAGCTGCTTTCGACTTCTTGGCCCGAGCGTGGTACGGGGTTAATCCAGAAGACACAGAACTTGGAAAAACAGCACCATCAATAATATCTAAATGGGTATTATTCCAACTCGGCCCAATCCTCACACTTGGACTTCCAAAACCTATCGAAGAACTCACCCTTCATAGCTTTCGCCTTCCATTTTCACTAATAAAAAAAGATTACAAAAAACTTTACAACTTTTTCTACCAAAACTCAACCGATCTTCTCGAAGAAGCCTCCAACCTCGGGATCTCACGTGACGAGGCATGTCACAACCTTATATTCACCACGTGCTTTAACTCCTTTGGTGGGATGAAGATCTTTTTTCCTAACATGATCAAACAAATCGGACGAGCCGGGGTGAATCTCCACCGTCGACTTGCGGAGGAGATTCGATCTGCTGTCCGATCCAACGGAGGAAAACTCACCATGTCAGCCATGGAACAAATGCCTTTGATGAAATCAGTAGTGTACGAGTCCCTTCGGATCGAACCGCCCGTCCCGCTACAGTTCGGGCGGGCTAAAAAGGATCTCCTTATCGAATCCCACGACGCAGCGTATGAAGTTAAGGAAGGTGAGATGCTATTCGGGTTTCAGCCGTTTGCTACGAAAGATCCGAGGATATTCGATCGGGCAGAAGAGTTTGTAGCTGATCGGTTTGTTGGAGAAGAAGGTGAAGAAAAGTTGAAGCATGTTTTGTGGTCAAACGGGCCGGAAACCCAAAGCCCGGCTGTTCATAATAAGCAATGTGCTGGTAAAGATTTTGTTGTGTTGATTTCGAGGTTGTTGGTCGCACAGTTGTTCTTGAGGTACGACTCGTTTGGTATTGATGTTGGTGTTTCTCCTTTAGGAGCTAAAATTACTTTTACTTCCCTCAAGAGAGCAACCTTTTGATAAATGTTAGCTTGGTTTGCTTAGGGGTATGTACTAATCATATTTTAGGTGATTATTATTCGGATTTGGTTGTCACATTAGGAAAAATAAAAATAAAAGTTAATAATGTGACAAGTAAGTTTGGGTGTATGAGTAGTACGGGGTTATGTTTAGTATTAACGCGATTCTTTGGATCTACTAATGTCAAAATTACGAAGTAAGTTTGGATGTGCGGACTAGGAAATTAGGAATGGATAGGGGCTTTTTCTCTTGTGTTTTGTTGGTTTTTTAGCCTATTTAGATCTATCTTAATTGTGATTTGTTGTACTTTGTTTAGTAGCGAGCAATAGCTCATTATATCGGTATATATGAATATCATCTTTATTTTATGTATTCTATTTATTTATCCCTCTCTTCAGTCTCGTTTTTCTTACTGGTATTTTATAAATCCTCCATATTGTTTAAAGTGGTGACAAGTAAGTTTGGGTGTACGAGTAGTACGGGGTTATGTTTAGTATTTACGTAATCCATCTTGGACTTTTTTAATGAGAAAATACAAGTTTCTTTCAATGATAAACAAAATCTGTTTATCACATGACATTTTCGTAAATAAATCAACATTTTTTTCATAAATGTGGGCTCTATCGTTAATAATTAGATAAAGATGTTTATTTATTTACGAAAATGTCATGTCATAAACAAAAAATTGTTTATTACTTAGGAGGTGTTTGGTATTTAGGAATTGAGGGTGGGATTGGGAGTTTTAATCCCAATTCAAGAAAAAAGTTTTGTTTGTTTGATGGAAATGGAAATAAAAATAGGTTCGGGAATGAGAATATTTAGGGGAGAATTCCCACCATTTTATTACTTAGGAAGGGTAGGTAATAAATGGATAGGAATGAGAATAAGTTTAAAATGACATTTTTGCTATTAATGAAAACAGTGAAAGAAAATATTAGTAAGGGTAAATTTGTAAAATTGTTATTATTCCCTATATATTCCAACTCACTATTCAAACAAGGTATTGGTATATTTTCATGAATTCCCAACAATTAATTCCCAATCCTATTCCCACCTTTTAATCCCCAAACTCTCATTTCCTCATTCCAAACGTCCCGTTAGAGTAAGTGGAGCAAGCTCTCTTTCTTTTTTATTTTATTTTTTATATTTTTTTTTCACTGATCATTATCTTAGCTTTTAGTTTCTTCATAATCATAACTATAAAGACAACCTTTTTATATTTTTAAGCATGCTAGAGTATTTTAAAGATGATATAACAGGCTTGCCAATTAACTGAATTAAGATTGGAAAAACAACACTTTTATCACGTTATATTAGAATGTTTTCCTCCTAGTGCACATGATACAGATATACCATTTGTCAAAAAAAGAAATGGTTGAAATAACACCAAATATAAGCTGGGTGTTCCCAGTGATATAATCTTTATAAGGCAAAATTAGGCTCAACAGCACAAACTTATAACAAAGTGCACATAGGAGCTCATCTCTCCTCTCTCTTCAAAACCCTAGCCTATACGGTTGAATTTTGGAGGGGCTTTCATCGGTTTTTATCGGTGGAAAGCCCCAATTGTGGTTTTTGTGTGCTTTTTCTCTTGTTTAATATTTATAATAACTCTTCCTCTTCTAGAAGGAACATTTCACCCTCGAAAGACTTTTTATTTTTTTTATTTATTTTTTTCTGCTTTAGCAGGATTTGACTCCTTCAAAAAACCGAGTTTTTCTTCTCTCTTTTGAGGGAGGATTTGTTTTTTTATTATGGTTTGCCATAGAGTTGTTTTATGGGTAAAACTTTGTGCGGGATAAAAAAAAAGGTTAATCTTTCGATTACAATCTAACAAATTAGACGAAAATTTTCTTCACGGCTACGACAGATCAATAGACCCCATCGCCAAAGAAAAGGCTGTAATTCACAGCGATATGAAAGAGGGTATGAAGAATGTACGATTTGCAAGAACGATCGTAGCTTTGCTAACAAGATGTTTTTATTTGAGTCAATTATCATATATTTCTTAGTTCTAAATCTCTTTGTAGATGTCGTATGACTTTTATGAATCAATTTTATTTCAAAAAAAAGTGCACGTAACAGCATAACAAACTTATAAATTTTTCATCGGATGCACAAACTATCATAAATGAAACATGGTAACGGACCTCCCGCCGGAGATGGGAATCTTTAATTTTATTATTATTAAAAACTGTTTGTATTGCGTGCCTTGACTTGCATGCTAGAAAATTGATCAACTAAAATTTCGGGGTTATTTTATCCTTAAAATATCAATTTTAAGGATCGGGCAATTTTAGCAAAAACTTACTAAAAATATATCAATTTGCGTGATACTCCCTCCGTATTTATTTAAGTGAAACGTTTCTCTGTAAATGCAAAATTTTGACTAATAATATCCTTATTTATCAATAAGTAAAATTTATAACAATTGAATATTTATACAATTTCAACAAGTACATTATATATATATAGGTTACAATGAAAACCTCCTCTATAATGAGAACTAGGAACTAATGTAGACCGTTAAATCTGAACGAGATCAACGACTAATATTAAGTCGCGCATTCTTTCTTTGAAACTACTGATAATCTCGTTCTTCCTTTTCATAAACAAAAGCCACTTTCTCTCTCCTCAAGAAATATGGAGTACTGCAATTTCTCATCAAATCTAGCTTCCAATTTCTGCAATTAGAAATCAAGTTTTCAGTCAAATATAGGTATCTTTTCAATTTAACGTTTTGAATTCCTTCCCTTTTTTTTTTTTTTTTTTTTTGGTGGTGCGTCAATTTAATGCTCGATTTTGATAAACTTTGCTCGAATTTCGGCAAATTCACTTCTATTGGGAATATGTGGGCTGGCTGGCAGGCCCAGCCATGGCGCTAGGCGCTAGCAAGGCTACCTTGGTTGCCATTAGGCCGCCAGCTAGCACATGCTTGTTGGCTTGGTATGTTGAGGGATTTCTTGGGGAGCAAGGGGTGGATGGTCCCCCCCTTGTGGTCCTCACCTAAACCTTGCTCTCCACTTGACACTTGTTGTTTGTTGATTGATTTGCATTTTAATTTGATTTTTGTATTAAATTAAATTGAATTAATGCCTTTTTACCAACTCTTCCACATTGATGGTAGATTGGAATTCAAGGACTCCTTTCCCTATAAATACCAATCATTTGGCATTGGGAAATGGCACTTGAGTTGTGAACTTGAAAGGATCTCCACAAGCGAGAACACTTTCGTTCCAATACTCTAAGTTCTTTTGGTCTAGCCCCGACTAAGCTTTGGGGTAGGGGCCGTTCGGGTCGGGTCTCGAGGGTGAGAGTCGTTGGAGGCTTGCGCATTTGCGAAACTCTACGCTTTCAAGTACAAGCTCTAAGAAAGAGCGAAGCACGCATCAAGGGTATGATCGTCTCTTCTTCTTTCTCTCTCTTTGTTAATTAATTACGTGATTGTTAATCAATGTGCATGTTTAGCTACTTTAATTTGTGTGCGAATTTTGGGAGGGTTTCATTCCGCATAGTGTCGGACACTACAAAACCCAACAGCGGTATCGGAGCCGCGCTCATTTAATTATTGTAACTAATAATTAATTAAGGTGATTTAAATGGATTTAAATTTCTGGTTTTGCTTTCTAATTAGATTAGAAGCTCGTTTTAATTAGTTTTAATCTCGTGTTAATGCTAATTTTGGCTAATGAACCCAGATTTCGACCCAAAAGTAGTGAATTTTGGGTGTAATCGATGATCTAAATTAGTTTTGACCCTCTTCGAAGATTGTCCACAATCCAAAATCCACCCAGAAACATGTTTTTCGAGGGGTTTTTCGTTTTTGACGAAAATTTTAAATCTTTAAACCTTGATTAATTATGACATGTTAATGTTAGATTATGTGTATGGTTACATCATTAATCTACTGCAATAATAACCCTTATTAAGCATGTTTATGAAGTCATATTTGATGCTTAATTTGGTGGGTTCATTTTTCACATAAACTTGCAATTTCACATTTTTGCAAATTAATTGCTTCAAGTGTGAATGTTTATGGTGAATTTGTAATTTTGAAACCCCTAAAATGTTAAAGATCTAATCTTTAATTGTTTATTTGGTTGGAACTTTACTTTCTAGATTCCATGTTGAACTAATTTTTGATTTTAATCATTTTTGAGTTGATTAAAATATTAAAAGTTCAAACTTGTGATAATTTGATTACTCTTCATATTGGAAGATGTAATTTTTCAAGTTTACACAAGTTAGTGTTGGAAAATTTTTCATTTGATGATTGTGTTTATTTTTCCAACTCCTTTTATTTTGTCAAATCTCATTATTAATTTATGTTTGGTTAAATTAATTGTGAGAATAGCCCTCAATTTTTTTAGCATCAAGTTGAGTAAAAAATAATTTAAAGAATGGTTCTTGAATTAATTTTGGTTTGGCACAAAAAAATTGAATTTAATTAAGTTGGACTTGTTTTATTTTCAATATTACTCAATATTGGTTCTAAAATAAATTTAGAATTCATATTAAAGTCACGCAAAATTTGTAATAAAATTCCAAAGCACAAGCACAAACTTGAAGTATAAGCTTCGACCACGAAGCTCGGCTAGCATGGGATGCTCGTACAGCCCAGCATGTTGCTGCCGAGGCTTGGTGCGCGTGTGAGAGCATGTGTGTGCTGCGAGCAAGTAGTGTGCGAGGAGGGTGCGTGTAGTGCGCAAGCAGCGACTGCCAGGCAGCGCCCAACCAGCAAGGCTGGGATGTGTAGCAGTGCCTGCGACCAGCATTATCATGCGCGCCAGCATGCTGCTAGCACAAGCGGCATGCAAGCATGCTAGGCATGCTGCGATGTTGCCAATACTAGTAGGCGCATAGCGCACTGCTATGGCTGTGCGACCAACACCCTTGCATGGCAGCTTGGCCTTGGTGCCTAGCAAGCCTAGCCCCATGGCTTGGATGCTAGGCACTAGGCTATTGAGGGGTTGTTATTTTGCGACTTTTGCGGTTTTAAATATTTATTTATTTAATTATTTTAATTAAAACTAGGCTAGGCCTCGGTTTTTCCCAGCACTTGCAAAATAATTTTGGCAAAATTTGGGTAAACCGGCTTAATTAAATTAATTGATTAACTTTAATTAAGTTGGATGCGGAATTTAGTGGGAGCTTTATTAATTACTTGAGCTAATTTTATTGCGTTTAATCACATAATCGGTTAACAACTTTGACTAGGTTTAATTAGGCACGTTAATTGGATTAACCACCTGAGTTAGTTACTAGTTTACGCGTATTTTGCATTGTTTCTTGTTTTACGTTGTAAAATGCATGGAACATTCACATATAATGAATGGATGAATGGATATTCTATCACAGGTTTTATGAAAATGGCAACTAGTGGGGCCCGA